ATTCGGTCATCCTTTTCATAATCTTCTGACATGTCCGACTTGTCCTCAATTCCCACGATGACTCTTTTCCCTGAAAGAACTATGTGGCGCTTTGTCTCTTTGGTTGAGTCATTATCGTTTTTTCCTCTTTTTGGTTTGGTAGACATATCATTGACATAGAACACCTGATTCACATCCTTGGCAAGGACGAATGGTTCATCTTTGTACCCAATATAGTTTGGCATGAAACTCGACTTGAATAAGTGTGAATGAAGAGTCCTTGAGCAAGGATATTCCACCGTATTCTTACATATGGCACATAGGCAGCATATGAAACCGTCGCGTTTGTTTGCCTCGGCCGCACGTAACAAAGAATGCATGCCGTCAATGAACTCTTGGGAGCGGCGATCAGCATTATACATCCAATGACGGCTCATCTGCATTACATGACATAAATACCATATTAAAACCTAGATCATAATTAATTATTTATACAACATGCGTGCCACCACAAAAGATACAAATTTATGAAAGCGTCGCTACAATGTAGACAATCCCAACTACCACTAAAAGAACTAAAGCTAAAATACATTTCAGTAGCACTAGGATTTCACGACCAATCTCAACTAAAACAGACAGATCCCCCGATTGTGCAACATCTTTGGGCTTCTTCGGCTGGATCACTGCCTCATTAGCCGCCGTATCTGCCTGTTGTGCAAGATATTTTTGCACGAGTTCAACATACTCTTCCTCCCAATAGAAGCCTGAACATCATCCACTGCCATCCCACTAAAATTAAAACAAAAAATTAGAACTTTAATCACAACCATAATGAAAATAGGTATAAACTAACCATAATCATTAAATACGATAAAATAACTCACATTGCAATCCAGACACTTGTAGAAGATACGATCCTTGTTGGGACCCTCCTTCTTCACTCGGTACTCCATCACAATCTTCGTCTCATCACGACACTTGCCGCATGGAATGAGAGGGAGGCCCGGCCTAAGTCGCTTTGGAAACCCATGAGAGGCCGAGGACCCGAAAGCAGTTGCCATCTACTCTCTATACTCATTTTTTAATACACTATAAATTTTTCCTTTTATAAACAAATAAAATTAAGAAACTATAAAATTATCTAGATCTCTAAACAATGATATTTTTAATGGTCATTGTGTTCTCGTCTTTTACTGTGGCAGGTAAGTAATTCACATGATATTTCCGCAAATTAACAGAAGAATGGGAGTGTACACACATAACAGACTACTGCGACGATATTGGGATGTGTGAATAAATAACCATCCGTACTAGTTGACCTTGCTTACGTGATCATCTCGGCGAGCATTTCTCCACCGGACGACACCGTACTTGGTCAAGGAAGAGCTCCGATTCTAGGAGGAAGGGAACACGGTCTTCCACGACCGTTGTCGCTCTCCCTCGTAGAATCAAAGCTCCTCCTTGACGTCCGTTACCGCTCGGCAGAGAACATGCTCGCCGAGATGAACATGGTCCGCAAGTTCAACTAGTACGGATTTTCTATAATTTTCTAACTATTTTCTAAGTTTATATTTATATATATACTACGTTTGGGTACGGTGATTGACAGACTACTACGACGATATCGGGACATATGAATAAATAACCATCCGTACTACTTGAACTTGCTTACGTGATCATCTCGGCGAGCATTTCTCCACCGGACGGCACCGTACTTGGCCACGCAAGAGCTCCGATTCTACGAGGAAGGGAACACGGTCTTCCGCGACCGTTGCCGCTCTCCCTCGTAGAATCAAAGCTCCTCCTTGATGTCCGTTACCGCTCGGTAGAGAACATGCTCGCCGAGATGAACACGGTCCGCAAGTTCAACTAGCTACTTTAACCTTATTTCATGTAAATATGCAAGCTTGAAGTGATTTTGAGCTCAAATTGCTTACAAATGAAAAAAACCACAATAAAGAACCATATATATATATAGGGAACAAAATGAGATAAGACAATGGTGAAAAATGAGAGTATGAGATTGGTAACCTTTACAACTGAAGAATCGACGGAGGAATCGAAGAAATCGACGGAGGAATCGAATAATGGATGGAGGAACAATGGAGGGAGGGAGGAAGCAAGAACACCAGTGCAGTGAGCTTCAAAATGTGCTGAGCTCGGGCTCGGGGAGGAAGAAGGAGACAGCCGGGATATAAAGGGGAGACCTTTAGTCCCGGTTGGTGGATCCAATCGGGACTAAAAGTAACTTTCCAACCCCGGGCGCAGCCACGGCCCGGGAGTAGACCTTTACTCCCGGTTGGAGCCACCAACCGGGAGTAAAAGTATACCTTTAGTCCCCGGTTGGTGGCTCCAACCGGGACTAAAGGTCCCTGCCACCTCTGTCTGGCGCAGTAGCCGTTGGGGCAGGGACCTTTAGTCCCAGTTGGAGACACCAACCGGGACTAAAGGTATTTCTAGCCCCGGGCGCAAAAAATTCCGGGACTAGAGCCCATTTTAACCGAGGATCAAAGGTCTGTTCTCTACTAGTGATATATATCGGTACGTGATATTGGAGAGACGTCCAGCGATGTTCCAAGCTATGGGATCCTTGCTCATCCAACAGGAAAGCACCCCACTATTATGAACCCTACTTTGGATACTTATCAAGTTACATTATGAGTCATGCATTACATGTAGTCTTGGATAATGATCACCTTCACACTACACCTAGAGTAGCTTAATAATCTGTATAAGCCTCTCATCTATACAATGGGAATGGGAACGCTTAATGCTTATTGCTTAGTTTTTTAGGCAATGGTAGAAGTCGAGCATGAGAAGGGAACTCATACTCGCGCGTGTAGGATGCTACACCTGGATAATTAACTACTAAAACCAATGAGGGTACAACTTGACTTACCTAACTAATCTGGCTAAGGACTAATATCCCTAATATGGTAATCTTGATGATAACTTGGATATCTTGCTCAAGCGAGGGGTAGATCGGCGTGAGTGTGGGATCTTAGACGACATAGCACTTGGAGCAGTAAGGACCGTGTATTGGGATATGTAAGTCCAAGTAACCACCCGTACAAACCACATGTCATGGATGGGTTCGACAAGCCAGGTAACTAATTGTGACCTGTCTATCCGTGAAACTGGCAAGGGGGATGGCGCCGGGAAGATGGTGTACGTAACGAACCGGGGACCCATTACAGTATAGAAGCCTGGGCCGAGGAACTGGGAAGATGGTGGAAACCTGACCCGGGCATCCAGTCGAACCTTTCATGTGACATTGGGGCCGGATTAGGGAAAGATTGAAAGGCGTGAGGCAACCCTTATTCTGGTGCACGAGGTATAGTGGTTAGTCCCGTCCTTCCGTGTGGGTACAGTTGTACACCTCTGCAGAATCTTGAAAGCCTGAAGTCCCTCGGGACGAAATCATTCGGTTGTTCCTACTTTCTATACCCATGGTAGCATTGTTGATGGATGATGGACTATGAGCATCTTGGTTGCAATGATATATGCTTTAATTCTAAAGTTGAACATAACATGTCATACTTTTAATGAACATCATCGCTTTCCGCAATTATACAAATGCCTGATAATCACCTATGCATCCACCAAATACTATATGTTGGAATTAAGTCCTGCAAGTACGAAATGTACTCACGGTGCTGCCGTTAAGTTGTTTTGTAGGTATAGGACAGTTGTGGCCATCTCACCCCGTCGTTGGTGGTAAAGTGGGTGAATGACAGGAGCCGTCTAGATTATGGTGGCGACGCCCATGGGCAAGGCAATCACCAGTTACTAGATATATAATTGATTCGTAGCATAGCGATGTTGGTAAGAGAGTCGTTTGGTTCACACTACATTTAGTCTTATGTTGTATAATTAATTTATTATATTTAACAAGACTTGTAATATATGTTTTCGCTGAATTATTATGTGCTCTGATGATGAGATATAATCTTGAGTTGTGGAGACTATTGTTGTATGATACTCAACCTGATCCTGAAGAGGAGTTGCCAAGGAACGCTCCTGGGAGTCACCGGTGGTGGCTTGCTTAAATTGGGTCAATCAAGTGGATGATACTCGATTTAGACTAATTAACGCGGTGGGTCCCCACACAAACAACCTCACCCACTGACTCATACTACCCCTCGCAAGAAGCGCGGCGGACGGCAGATGGGGAGAGAACTGCTGCGCGTGGATGGCGGAGGTGACGTGGCTGGATGCCGAATTGCCGATGCGGGCAAGGGAGGAGCCGATCGAGATGTGGGCCACGCAATGGCACAATCCATTCGTCCAGCAGACACCGCTATAGGGGCGGGTGACCGCATATTTTTTTTGGGGGGCTGAGCAAGAGGACCCACCAAATTTGCAAGAACCGAGAACACAGGACAGCAAAAGAAAAAATAAAACAAAAGCTGCGACATCAAGCACTAATCCGCCATAGATCGTTCATGTAAAGCAATTCTTGATGCATAAAATTGGAGCTTCACTTTGCAGGAAAGCACCACAATTGAAGATAAAACAAAAAGGTTGTTTCTGTTTATATTTAACATAAATCCATCATGCTTAGCTCACTGTGTCTGGTCAGCATTATGCGAGCTAGTTATGGTAGATGCATGTTGAAACATCATTGTTTATATCATAGAACAGACCTACAAATTCACCCTGATGAAACAAGCAAGAGCGGCGAGCAGTAGAGAAAGAGCGGCGTGCGTGTGTATGGGCGGCGGCTGCATGCTGGTCTCGGATGTTGGAAGTGCATGCGGCCATGCGCACAGAACACGAAGATGAAGAGACCCGTGTCACGTTAATGCATGCGTCCATGCGCGGTTAACGGTCAGCAGGCAGGGTTAGTTTCGTCCAAACTGATCGAGAGTTGACGCCACAACAACAAAACGACTTTCTCTCCCAGCGACACTATGTTTCTCCCTCGCTGTTGATCGGCTCCCAGGGCCCCTGACACCTTCACACCATCACGAGAGATCCCGCGTCACCGCCGGTGGGGGCGAGAGGAGACCAGAAGCCATATGTCGGGGGTTGGCAGCAGCGGCAGGCCACTGGCCGCCCAGAAGATCCTGCAGTCTCTGCGCCCTCCGTTGTCCTTCGCCACGCTGTCGCGGCCACCCTTCGCCGCGCCCGGCGAGTGCCACCGCTTCCCCACATCAGACGGTGTCAGCACGGGGGATGCTCCTCCTAATGATACTATCAATGAGGAGGGGCTGGTCCTACGGACACCGGTGAGATGATGCTTCTGCTCCACCTCCACCAGGAGCTCCAGATTTATTTTCCCTTCTCAGGTCAGCTTACAGTGTTTGGATAGTAGACCAGAAGCCATATGTTGGGGGTTGGCAGCGGAAGGCCGCCGGCCGTCGAGAAGGCGCTCTACCCTTCGCCACGTCATCGCGGTCTCCCTTTGCCGCGTCACCGTACGTCATCCTTCGCCGGGCTCGACGAGTACCACCGCTTTCCCACATCAGACGCAGACGGCGCGGGGCTGCTCCTCTTGATACTATCGAGGAGGGGCTAGCCAACGGACACCGATGAGATGCTTCTGCTCCACCTCCACCAGGAACTCCGGATTAATTTGTTTTCCCTTCTCGAGTCAGCTTACAGTGTTTGGAGATCCATGTTTCGACCAACAATATAAAACATGGATCTCCAAACACTGTAAGCTGGCCCCGCAACTCTCTTCATCTTCGTCTTTTGTGCGCATGGCCCCATGCACTTCCAACTTCTGAGACCAGCATGCAGCCGCCGCCCATACGCACGCACGCCGCTCTTTCTCTACTGCTTGCCGCTCTTGCTTGTTTCATCAGAGTGAATTGGTAGGTCTGTTCTGTGATATAAATCATAGACATTTCAACATGATGCATCTACCATATAGCCAACTCGCATAATGCTGACCAGATATAGTGAGCTAAGCATGATGCATTTATGTTAAATGTAAACAGAAACATCCTTTTTGTTTTATCATCAATTGTGGTGCTTTCATGCAAAGTGAAGCTCCAATTTTATGTATCATGAATTGCTTTGCAGGAACGATCTATGGCCGATTAGTGCTTAATGTCGCAACTTTTGTTTTGTTTTTTCTTTTGTTGTCCTGTGTTCTCGGTTCTTGCAAATTTGGTGGGTCCTCTTGCTCAGCCTCCAAAAGAAAATATGCTGCCGCCCGCCCCTAGAGTGGCGTCCGCTGGACGAATGGATTGTGCCGTTGCGTGGCCCACGTCTCGATCGGCTCCACCCTTGCCTACATCGGCAATTCGGCATGCAGCCACGTCGTCTCCGCCATCCGCGCGCATCTGTTCTCTCCACGTCCGCGGTCCGCCATGCTTCTCGCGAGGGGTAGCATGAGTCAGGTGGGTGAGTTTGTTCGATTCCCCAAACCATGCATTTTCCGCTCCCACGGTGCACGGACAGCAGGGAGTAGTAGTTTGTTATCCTAAAGTTGTTCATGAAAATTGGGAATATCCAGTTGTCTATACTACGAGGCTACGAGCCCCCTTGCAACGGTCGGCTCCATTCCTATATACAAGTATCCCTCCGCTGCCGACCTCTTGCGCATCCCATCTCTGCTCTATTCGCCATCCACAAATCCATCGCACCCCATCGCATCAGGAGAAGAAGGTAAGAGACAACGGGGAGATGGAGGCAGCGACGGCCATGGATTTCCACATGCTCTCCAATGTTGTGTAACTTGTCGAACTTGCTCCCCAATCAATGTTGTGCAATTTATCGAACTATAAAGGCTAAGATAGAAATTTTTCACTTTGACCAACTATAATCAATTACCATAATCCATTGACCCATAACACTCTAATTATTTTAATCCATAATTCAAATTATAATAATTCTATGCATAATCCATGTTATAATAATTCAGTTGTGATCCAAACAGGCTCTAACGCATAGGTGCAGCCATTTCCTATTCCCAAAAAGTAAATAAGTGGAAATCGAATACCTACATTTTTTACATAGAGATGCATGGATCCATTACGTACCTTGATGACGGGCACCTTGTACTTGTACACTAATTTTGCAGACACGATAAAAATGCAATAAAAAACTAAAATCAGGTTTATCTGCATTTGCAGATGGACTGTTTGGTGAATTCACTGGATTTTGGGGAAAACACTGAATTAATGAGTTCACTGAGAGCTAACACTGAAATTTAGGGGGAAACATGGACAAAAACTAACACTAAATACATTGAATTTCAGAAAAAATTTATATACTGTTGATCAAGTCAGAGAGAGAGATTTGGTCAAGCACTGAATTTCTAAAAAAATTGACAGCTATGCATGTGGGTAGCATTCAGTAAAATGATGTGTCGCAACAAGATATACCTAATAACTTCGTCACTGCAAAGTACTAATTGCCATACGATCACACGCATTTGAGATGTCCATCAAATATCCCTGGCAAAATATCAAATTGATTAACCTGAATTCCAACACCAATAGTGACTTCCAGAGATGACATAGGCCTATCAATAAATAACCTGACCATGAAACAACAATCACATTGAACCTGGTGATGAATGTCTGCATGCAAGGAAGGCCGATGAAACGTGTGCAAGTTTGACCATGGCGGCAGGGCAGGTACATGGGCATGCGTTTTCCTACAGAAGCAAAATATATCAATATCAATTGTCAATGCTCATCTGAAAAAGAATGCAACAAAAGTGAAGCACCTAACTAAACTCTGTGAGACGTGAGGCAAACAATAAACTATACCTATACTAGCGCCAAACACAGATCGAGAACTGAGGTCAGCGATAGGTTAGAGATTGGAGACATAGAGGCTTACCCAATCAGCGAGAAATTGCGAGCTAGTACTTTGCAAGGGATAAGGGCGTCCCCTTTCTCCTCCATGAGTCGGTGCTCCTGCTCGAGTGGAGATCCTCTGTGCGGGAGCCCTAGACCTCTGAAGAAAGAGAGAGAGTGAAAGCCCAATGCGGCCTTGGTGTCATTGCGGCCCCGCAGCCACGCTGGAGCCGCCGCTCACCGGACCACCCCAAGATTTGAACGCCTCCGGCTGGTATAGAGATGGTGTGCGTGCCACCACCAGCCTGGAGGGGACCGAGCGCCACTGCTGGCCAGAGAGAGCGGCCCCAGTGCCAGCACCCTGGAGGGAGGGTGTTGCACGTGCTGCCACCGGCCTAGGCAGGGAGAAGGCGAACGATGATGGCGGTGCCGGTGTTGGGGCGTGGCGGCGGCACCCATCCCTTCGGTCACCCACTCGTCGAGGCCACAGCGGCGATTCCGCGTCGATGCTACGGCTCCGTGCGGCGGCCCAAGGGGGCACGGCGCTGCAGCGGACGGTGCGGGGCAGTTTTTTTCTTTTTTTTTTCCATGACACGGATATGCCGGGAGTCTCGTGGAGTCGCATGAGGAAGGGGAGGGCGGGAGTTGCTGGGGAGGGGTGGGACTCAAGATGGCAACGGGTACGTATCCGATGGTTACTGGCCATCTGTATCCGCACCCGCCAGATCAAAATCTTACCTGTCAGGTTACCCGTACCCATAGGCGGGTAGAAAATTCATTCCATACCCGCACCCGATAGGTAATTCTTACCCGACGGGTAATTCTTACCCGATAATATACCCGAGTTTACGTACCAAAATATAATAGCTTCCAGCAAAACAAATCAACAATAGAGCAGCAAAACAGAAATATGGGCTGATGGAGTGGAGTGAGGACGAGGATTAGGGTTTGAGGGAGTTCTGGAATATATATACTTATATGCTTATATGGGCCAAATATAGGCTATATGCTTATATAGACTAAAATTGAAGAGGTTGGATATTATTTATGCGGGTTTTTTTTACCCGCGGGTATGCGGGTATGGGTAGTATACACCCACACCCGTACCCGCATACCCGATGGGTACAAGAATTCGTCCAATAACGTACCCGCGGGTGCAAAATGTCTTCCATACCTGCCTCCTTATTGGGTAAAACCCGTCGGGTACTCGGGTTTCAGGTACCTGTTGCCATCTTGAGGTGGGACCTTGGAAGGGTGGCGGCAGTTGCGTTTTTGCGGAGGCCGGGCATGGAGTGGAGCCATGCGGTTTTGCGGAGGCCACGTGCGGAGGGGGATTATTAGCGCGGGGCGGGGTCATTAGAGCATCTCGAGGAGGTCCCTACTTTTTTTCTCCTAAAATTTATAGTTTGGCAGCTCCTAAAAAAATTTGGGAAGAAAAAAAGAAGGTCATCTCCAAGAGTTTCTAATAAATGGCATCTAAAAAATCAAATTTGGGGCCCACACAAATTATGTTGCAGCTTTTTTTCTTTTCCTTGCATCTTCCTCCTCTCGACTGCAGGGATGCCGCACTCACCCGCTGGGGCAGGCCGCGCTCGCCCGCTGGGGCTAGCCGTGCCGCGCTCGTTGGCCGGGGTTGGCCGTGCCGAGCTCGCCTGTCGGGGCAGGCCGTGCCGCGCTCTCCAACCGAGCCTGTCCACGCCGCGTTGGCCTGGGAGGCGTGGGGGCAGAGCTGAGGCGCGTCGTGTGGGCGGCGGCCGGGTTCGCCGGAGGTGGAGGGGCAACGGGGCGGCGGAGGTGAGGCGAGGGCATGCGGGAGGCAGCAAGCTTCGCCGGAGATGAAGGGGCAGCGGGCGTCCTCTGTGCTGGATCTGTGGCCGTGCCTGCCGCCAGGGCTGGGGCCTGAGTCCCGAGCGATTCGCTGCGCCGCACCGACCGTGGCTGCCCGCGCTCGTTGGCCGGGCTCCCGCGCTCGCCAGCAGCGAAGGAGGAAGGGAAGGAGCGAGGGAGGGAACGCCGGTCACCTGCCGTGCCATTGGAGCCGCGTCCGCGCGACCGGAGCAGGCGCCGCCACCGGGATAGGACGCGCCGCCGCTGGGATGGGACCACGCCGCCGCCGGGGATGGGGCAGAGATGCCCGTGGCCGGCAGGGGAGGATCCGGAGGGAGTAGCGGCGCGCGGGAGGCGAAGGAAACCGAGCGGGAGTCGAAGGATACGCGCGAGGCTGCGGCGCGTAAAGTTATGCGGATGAGGGGGATTTTTTCCGATTCCTAAAATATTAGGAGATTGTATTAGGAGTTGTTGGAGATGGATTTTTTTAGATCTTTCTAAAAACTTAGGATTAGGAGGAGGTTTAGGGAACTCTTGGAGATGCTCTTAGCGGGGTGAGGACGATAACACGCAATTCTTTTTAGTTGGAAAAGATAGGAGCATAAGAGTGGCAAAGGGTGGAACCATCAGATATGTTCTCATCACCGAGGCTGGGGATCACGTGGATCAGAAATTCAGAACGTAGCCAAAACGTGTGAGACTAGGACTATAGGTTCTAATATAAAGGTTGGCACCATAGTAAGGAGTGAGAATTTTTCATATTTGATAACTATCCCTTTGGTACAGTTTATAATGCATTTCGCATAAGTCAGCAGTTAATTAATTGAATGGTTAAAGTATAATTTAGAAGACCCTGTAATTTTTATTACGAGATAAATTGGACCAGAGTGAGTACATAGTCTTTCTTTCCTAGCCCTTCCAAGCTACAATTTTCCTAGTGGACAATGAGCTCAACTTTTGTCCCTACATTGGCACCGCTGTACATGTTGAGCCTCTTTCTATCAGTTGACATAATGGACCAAGTCAGGTTTTGTCGCATGGATGAAATTGCCCCTAGCCATTCAACCATCTTTCAGTAGCGCCTGAACCCCATCTGGCAAATCAACAGAATTTTCTCTCTCTCCCCAAACCCTAAGATCAGGCGACCATGGAGATGGAAGCTGATGCCGCAGCTAGAGAAGACGGCAACACTCCTACAGCTCCTTCTGCTGCAAGCATGGATGACCCATCTTGCTGTAGTCATCAATGATAGTGCGAAAGCGTGCTCACCCGTAGCGGCCTCTTGTAGCGATGCTCTGGCCTACATGTGTGGCAGCTCAGATCTCATCTCGTCAAGTGATCTGAGGGCCCGTGTGATGACCCAAGCATTGTGTACTTGATAAGCATGCTCATCTTCTTCATTGCATTCATAAAAACTTAATTGAGAAAATTCCAAGTCAAAAGCTATTAAGTCGGCGACGAGAGTTA